GGGTCTGTCAGTTGAATTATCATGAATATTAGGTCTGTTGGTTGAATTATCATGAATATTAGGTCTGTTGGTTGAATTATCATGAATATTAGGTCTGTTGGTTGAATTATCTTGAATATTAGGTCTGTTGGTTGATTTATCATGAATATTAGATCTGTTGGTTGAATTGTCACGAATATTGAGTCTGTTGGTTGAATTATCATGAATATTAGGTCTGTTGGTTGGAAATGCTTTGCTAGGTTTTGGCATTTAATGCTGTAGCATGAAAACAATTACTGGTCTCAGTTGTATATCGTGAGTTAACAATCACAACTGCCAAGTTTTCTTTCATTCAATTTGATTAGGATAAAGTATACACTGAAATTTATATATTTTTAATGGGCATTAATAACTTAAAGTGTAAAAGTGAATTACACATTATAGTCTTAAAATCAAAGAGTGTTATGGTGAGTAAAATATAAATTAAAGAATGCAGGTTAAAATAATACATGTGATGTTTCTTTTTGATGCAGTGTGTTTTAGGACATCACCCTTTTATTGTAAAGTGCAAACATCATTGGCAAAACAAGAAGAAATTATTTATTGGTAAGAAGTTTGTTTTTCCATGTGTCATAGATAGTACTTAATTTTTTCTGATTAAATGTGGCCCATAAAATATCAGTTACCCAATGTTCACAGTATTAACCATATTAGTTTACCTCAAAATTTAGATTTTATATATATATCTTTGAAACCAAACTTTGGTAGCAGTTTATCATGGGAAAAAAAAAACAAACCCTGTGTAGCTGTGTCAGAAAAGCATTTTTCTAGAGTATCCTAAATGTAGTACACCAGGTAATGAACTTAAAGTTGGATAAACATTCACATTTGATTGATATCTTATAGATATAACGTTAGCAAATAGATGACTTCCCCTCATTAAAAAAAAGTTAAATTGAAAAACATTTCTGCTTGTGTCAATCATCCTGTTTAGATTTTTATATCTGTGTGGATTTGTAGTGAAAACAACTAAATCTAAAGCATAAGATTTCAGACAAAAGCCATAATTGTGATAATTCAGGTGCAAGAGCATTTACCTGTTTGTCATACAACTGAATACATCTTCAACTGTGGTAAGTTGTGTTTCCAAAGAAACTAGTTGATGGATAACGGTTCACACGGGAGATTTTAATAAGTTTCATCCACACAGTTGGAGATTGTAATAAGTTTCGTCAAATGTATGAAGATTTAATAAATACACTTAGTATTCTGAAAATTGTTTAATTTCAAAGTTGAAGTTCAAGAGAGATCCAGTTCAATCTACACTTTGATCAACGTGTGTTATACTAGTTTCAGAACACTTTGATCAACGTGTGTTATACTAGTTTCAGAACACTTTGATCAACGTGTGTTATACTAGTTTCAGAACACTTTGATCAACGTGTGTTATACTAGTTTCAGAACACTTTGATCAACGTGTGTTATACTAGTTTCAGAACACTTTGATCAACGTGTGTTATACTAGTTTCAGAACACTTTGATCAACGTGTG